AGCAGACCGTGATAATTTGCCCATCTCAAAAAGTGAACTTCATGATCTTCTAAGCAAGCCATCACTGAGTGGGATCCCATTGTTGGTCCTTGGAAATAAAATTGATAAGCCAGAAGCTCTGACAAAGCAGGGTTTGACAGATGAAATGTAAGTAACCACAAAATTTCTATTTTAAGATATCTCTATTACATGTAAGCAGTTGGAAGCAGTTCCCATAATGCAAGTGCTGCTTGGACTCTTAACTATGAACTGCATTGCAGGGGCCTGAAATCCATTACAGACAGAGAGGTTTGTTGTTACATGATCTCATGCAAGAACTCAACCAACATAGACTCTGTCATCGATTGGCTTGTGAAGCACTCAAAATCAAAAAATTGAGCATTTAGCCCTCGACAGCTCTGGCTTCTGCATTATTTTCTTGGGATATGTAGGTTGTTCTTGTGGTTTTTGGTGATGATTTCTGCTTTTGGCTGGCTGAGTTTATGGCCTCTACTGTTGCCTGTTATTGTCATGCTGATTTATCACATATGCAACTGGGCTTGTACTGTTTCTTGTAACCAGTATGTTGAATTATTTCTGTGTATGGGTTAACCTTTTGAGTCTTGTGCAGAACACACATTGTACCTGATGGACATTTGGTGGTGCCAACAATCTCTGTTAACATGATATGTGATGAGCGATTTCAATAGTTGTGTTTTCTCTGATCATGTCATTTATTTGAATTCTTGGATAACGTTTACAAAAACCTTCCTGAATATATTTAGGGTTTTACGCCGGAAGAGGATCGATCATTGATGGTGGAGTTGTTACTTTTGCTGACCCACCCCCATACCAACCTACAATAGTTTCTTCTCTATTTGGTGCAAGGCTTTTAGCTTTCACCAGTGATTATGAGAATGATTCGATACACTATACGGGAATATGAAGGAATTAGAGAGAATCAAAGGGGTTTGTAGGAATATATGGTAAGTACGATGGATGTAATATTATATTATGATGGATTCTTTCATCCTGTTTCTGATCTTGCAGGTATAAGTTTTCTCATGAGATGAGAGATTCAGGTGGAAACATTGTGGCTGCAGGATGTGCTGCATACAATGCTAGAGATGGATGTCTTGCTCTTAATCACATCAGTGTCCTCACAAATGCTAAATGATGCTCAATGACATTTAGAATCTAGCTTCAACTGTAAATGTCACAAGCTTTGGTTTGAACCCTAGACAAAGCAATGTTTTTCACACAAACTTGCTAACCACAGTAGATTAACTCAAAGAACAACTACATGGGAGCTGAAGCTTCCTCTACTATGTTGCATACAGGTTTTTTACACACTTACCTGATGGGTGATTAATGAAGATTAAAACCTACAATAGTTTCTTGAGTTTGGATTACCAAGTATCACTGGAATAAACCTTCTAAATTATGGTCAATCCCACAAACAAATAGATAGTTCATCTGTTCCTCAACCTTGACATCATAAGTAACCAGGTTTGAGTCCTTGACTTCTGATTCAAACTTAGATCAAGGCTGAAATTTGATCATTGTTCATGTATCAGCTTACAAGCTTCACTGGTGATAATTTCTTCATGACCATCCAAAGTCAGATTGCCAGTTTCTGTCTTTCTCTTTCCATATTAATCAACAACAACAACAACCAACACCAAGCAATGATACTGACTACAACTAAATTCAAGTAATGTTTTGATAGTTAGATTTAATATTGCATGCAGTATGATTCCAAAGATAAAAAAAGTATAATAATAATAATGATAGTAAATTATCAATAGATGTGAGATTTTTCATCATATAACCCCAAAATCAAGAACATTCAAGATTATATTTCTTTATTCCTCTATAGAATTATTTTATTCCCCTGCCTATGATGATGGGCAAAACTTGAAGCCTTCTGGAATGGTTTATTTATTTCCTCTCCCATATGTTGTCACACGCTTTGGTTTTCTCATCTTATTAAACAAAGTCTAGCCAGTTGTGGCACTTGTCATCTCTACAGTAAGTCAAACAGCACCAGCAGATTCCTTGCTTAGTTAACTGATACTGAGACCTCCTTGACCACATTGCACATGCCACTGCTGATGAGCTCAAAGAATCTGTTCTTCGATCAAGAACAGTGCAGCGACAACCAAATACTGCTCGATTACCATCATTAGTTTTCACAAGCAGGAAAGCGATTCAATGCTGCTAAGCTGTTCGTTGTATAAGATAGCATTTGTCTTGGAAAAAGAATGCCACTGTGTGAATACTGACTGAAAGCTCCAGATGAGGATTTCCTAAGCACCAAAGTCATTCAATGCAGATATACTGTTTGTTGTATGGTTCTTGTCAGATAGCTTTAAGTCTAATCTTCAAGAAACGACTATAATCAGAAACAAGTGAAAATGCCTTTTGAGAATACTATACATTCATTCAGCAGTTCAAACGTAGAAGAAGGCGACCTTTTTGATTTCCTGAAATAAGCTGCACTGCGAGCAACGAAAGCTACACCTCGAGCTCCAGAAAGCTACGCACGAAGAGATGCGGTCAGAGGAATCCGACACCACACCAACTCACGAGATGTTTGCTGCCATCAATTAATGAGGCATCAGAGGACGACGACTTGCATTATCAAACCACATCACATCCAAGTCACATCGCACTAATTGTGACCGATGTCAAGAATGGAGTCCTCAGTTTGACTTCTCTTCGACTTGCAATTGTTGATCGTACGAGATCGGTGTTGCTGCACCCTCTGGGTTTTCTTCTTCTCCCTCGACCATGGTGCAGTATAACTACTGTAGTTCGTTGGCTAAAAGAAGCTTCCCCTACTTTTCTTCTTCTTGTCTCTGTTTTCTTTGATTCAAATGCTAATTCACATACAGAATGATGAGAGAAAGGTTGTCCTGTATGGTTCCAGCAAATGCTGCTACATCCACCAACCAGAATCATGGCATGACCAAAAGCCATTGATTGAGGAGCAAGGGAAAAAGCATAAAAAAAAGTCGCAGGGAAGTGAAATGGATGAGAACAGATGTCAAGCTCATCTTGTAAAGCCATTCATGGCATCATAGCCATGGAGACTTACAAATATATAAAGGGTTGGCTTTGTGCTGGCATCCAAGTGAGATACTGGCATCAGCCATATGGTGGTTGATGACTAGCTTGGCATGAAGTCTTTTCTGGTCGGAGAATTCAACTTTATGCATTGATTTAAGGGGCCCAAACAATGGAAAGTCAGCTGCATCTGCATATCCTAGATTGCTGCTATGGGGTCCTTAATTCACAGATATCTCTAATCTTTAGCTGTTGCTGTTCTATGGAAATAGATTCACCTCATGCTTTTTTCCCCTTGAAGGTTTCAGAGCTGAAAGCTTTCTCAAGAACAGATAGAAAAGCAAAAGAAAAGACCTTCTTCTTCCACACTAAAAAGGTTTCAGAGATAGAAGTAATGCTGATCAATTGGTTTCATGCTATTTACTAACAGGTTTATGAAAGGCTTCTCTTCTTAGTGCCACTTGCATCATACTCATGAGCTACAGGGCAAAGAACTCCACTCTCTCTTGGAGCTTTATCTCTTCTTCGTTTGGGTGCCATGAGCCTCATTGACACAGTTTGGATCAGGTCAAGTTAATCCCAAAAAAAAAAGCTTGAGGTTGGACTGGATTTTGCATCTGCAAGTCTAAATACAATCAAATTGATTTCAGCCAATTCAGAGAATTAAATCCAAAAAAAATTCAGATACTGATGTGCTTAGAGATTAACCTTTCTACCTAATTTAATTAGACAAAATTAATGGGATCTTATAACAACATTATTCTTATATACAATCAGACTTGTTAGGATGATTCAATCAACCCAAACAAATGAGTCCTATAATGAGATTTATCATTATATTAACATGTAAGCATTTTTGTTATGACCCTAATCTTGAGAGGAGATGATTACAGGGACAGTTCGGCCATGGGCATGGGAAAAGCTTCATGTCTCATCACACTCACCCACCCTTCTCCTCCTCTCCTCTTCTTCCCGACAAAAGAGCAACCCCCAATCGATTCCTCCCTTTTTGAATCCCAAAACCTCTCTCTCTCTCTCTCTCTCTCCTTTCAGGTCTCAGCCTACAAGTCTGCAATAGTACTGACATTGCTCTTTCCTCTTCAAAAGAGGAATCCAATGACCAGAGGCTCACCCCACACCCCAAAAGCTCAAAAGCTGCAATAAAATAGCACATGGTTGCAGTCCCACTTGCATGTAAGTCTAAAATCTTCATGCTGTGAGGAAGAAAGAATAAAAGAAAAAAATTATATGCATAATTATTGAGAATTTGAAATGATATATTTACCCTATAATGTTAATACAACATATATGCCCCTCAAATACTAAAATTCTTTGTATATCTTTGATGACATTTACCCTTGCTATAAATAATTGATGGTATTCAGTTTGAATTAAAAATATATATTTTATATTAGAAAATATTCTTAGCATTCAAAGTATTATCACAATCAAGTAATAATTTTTAAAGAAATATTCATACAATTGAATTCATTATTATTTTAGTCAAAATCATCAAATTATCATTTGATGATTTTATAACAATAAATATAAATTAAAATATTCAAACTAGAATGTCAATCAAATAATAGTTAAAGGTTCAAAATTTCATTTAATAATATATTTCAAGGGTACCAACTAACTTTGATAATTTATGATAATTTTTTATTAGACTTTCTTAATCTTTGTAAATTTTTAAATATTATTTAAATTAATATCTTATATATATTATATAAGAATAAATAAAAGAATTAACTTTTAAAGAAATAAAAAAAAACTGATTGAAGGTATCCATCCATATGTCATTTCAAATTTTATCTTTATTATTTATATTAAAAATAGGAGGGTTTTACTCACTTGGGAGGGATCCAAATGTAATTTTGCCCAGAAAAGAGGGCCAAGAAAAAGGGGATGTAAGGAGGAGACTTAAAAGCCTAACACATTACCAAGTAAAAAGGCACCTCCTTTTCTACGCTCTGCTATGATATGCTATCATCATGATGGTGAAGAAGCAGACGGGATCTTCTTGGAGGACAGCCCGAGTAAGTCTCGGCTTCTTCTCTTCTCTTTCTGCAAATGCGTCGCCTCTACTGTTCGCTTCTTCCTGTTGTTGTTGATGATGGATTGCCTCGCGGTTTGATTCCACTCGATTCGTCCTAGTTTTGAGCTGCTGGACACCAGGAAGCGTTCGATTCGACCCGCATTGTGGGATTTGATTGCGAGCCCGTGAAGCCATGCTCTGCGCCTGCTCCGGCGAGCAGTACCGGTTCGAGGAGGAGCGGCCGCCGTCGCCGCCGGAGTCGCTCGCGACGAGGGATTTCTCCACCGGCGGCCTCTCCTCGAGGGTCGGCGGCCTCTCTTCCGGGGCCGGCGGCGACGGAGACTCCAAGCTTGACGATACCCAGGTCGACGACGTGGTCGAGTCCACCCTCAGGGAGACCCTCTCTTTGAACTACGAGGTCCTCCTTCCCCTTTGGATTCCACGAACTGTGGTCACCGTTTGATTTGCGATTCTCGTATCTGATCGAGGATGGCGTTTTGCGGCAGGAAGCGCGGGCGCTGCTCGGGCGATTGGAGTATCAGAGGGGAAACTTCGATGCGGCATTGCAAGTGTTTCAAGGGATCGACATCGTGGGCCTGCGGCCAAAGATCATTAAGGCCATTGCCGCTTGGACTCGAGCTCGGCAGGCTCGTCGAAGAGGAGAATGCTTGCAAGGGAATGTCATGTCTATCCACTCGGTTACTCTGCTTATAGAAGCAATGCTGCTCAAGTCCAAATCTTTGGAAGAGATCGGTCGATTTAAAGGTGACCCACAATGTTACCTAAGTATTATTATTTGCATATCCATGACATTGAAATCCTTAATTGGCTGAACACTTTGGTTTCTCTGAATGTTGAAGTAGTCAGCTTGATGTTTGATCAAATGTCATAATAACCTAATGCTGACAAAAATTACCTGAGCATCCGATTGTAGTTGCTCCTGGATATGAAGTGGTTTAGACTTTTGTGCATAGTTCTGCTGATGACATGATTAGAAATTTCTTTTATAGGATAATGATGGACCACATGAAGGATCTGTACATTACCAATATAATTTTGATTATGTATGCCTCTTGTAGCAAATTGGTATGCTGGCAAAATGAACCTTTAAAAGCTATTAAAACTTTTAACAAGCATAAATTGTAATATGAAATGGAATGCCAATTAATCCCTATCATACTCACTATTTGGAAGGCATAGTGGATTCCAGATGAACCCAAGATGTCCAACTTGTCCTATAAGAGTGCTAAATATTTGGACAATGACTAGAATGTTTCTTCACATGCCATTAATAGACCTTGACTCCATCACAATCCTTGTAGCCAAAACATAATGATTATAGATTTTGGTTTGTTGAATTTTACATAGTAAAGAAGGCATCATATACATGTTTTATCAAAATTTCCTAAGGAATTATTGAAAATTTTACTCCACTAGTGATCTGGTTTTCTTAACTGAGAGCTTGCCAGACATGCTTCCTCTGGTTTGAGTTTATCTTTATCTCATGCTTGTGTCCTTTCCAGTTTATGCTGATATGCAGCATTTTATATTCTGGAGTATGCTACTTCAAACTTGGATTGATGTCAGACCTGGGGTTTGGTTATTAAAGATAGACTTTTAAATGATTTGCAGTTCGATGAGAGTCAGTTGTACTATTTTTTTCTTTTTCCCTCTTTACAAGTATTAATCTTTTAACTCAGAATTGGAGTGCCAACTCTTCCATCCATCAATATATTTTTTGTGCTTCTAAAGTCTTGCTATGAGGCACATACCATGAAACTTGACATATATCCATTTTCCTTATTCGTTTAATCTTATTCTGTACTTTTTCCTCTGAAATTGAAAAAGCAAATGATGCTTCCCAGGTGAGTTACACAAAATATATTGGCCCTTGGGATCTTAAATACCATCTTACACAATCAAACCATTCAATGGTGCTGAAGAACTATTCTAAGCCTTGTTTTGTTTATAATAGAAATTGAATCCCATTCTACCAAATTTGGAATATTGCATTTCAATTTTTTTTTCTCTTCATATTTGACTATCATAATGATGCCTATTGTCTTGTCTCGCCTATGAACTTTTGTGGCAGATGCTGCATTTGAATGTAAAACTATTATCGACATTGTTGAATCTGCTTGGCCGCATGGCATACCTGAAGGAATTGGAGATGATAGCAAGTTGAAAGAAATGTTTCACAAAGCTCTAGAATTGTTTCCCAAGCTCTGGATGCGAGCAGGATTTCTCGAGGAAGCTATTGCTGCATATCGCCGAGCTCTTATGAAGCCATGGGATTTAGGTTTTAGTAGGTGGGCTAGCTTACAGAAAGACCTGGCAGTTGCTCTGCTCTATGGTGGTGCTGAATTAAGCCTGCCTCCGCAACTTCAACAACTATGGGGCTACGCTGTCCCTACGTCTAACATAGAGGAAGCAATTCTTTTGTTGCTGATACTCATGAGAAAGGTGACCTTTCAAGAAATAAGTTGGGACCCTGAGATCATGAATCATCTCATTTATGGCTTTTCATTAACTGGACAATTCGAAGTTTTGGCCGGTCATGTAGAACAGATTTTGCCAGGTATCTATGACAGAGTTGAGAGATGGTATGTACTGGCGCTTTGTTACCATGCTGCTGGTCTGGATGATGATGCATTAAATGTATTGAGGAAGGCATTGAGCTACTCAGAAAAGAAGCACAAACCTCATCTTCCATCAGTCATATTAGGAGCTAAGTTGTGCTGTAAACGTCCATTGCATGCATGGGAAGGGGCAAAATATGCAATGAAGGCAAATGAGATTTTCCAAAATCAAAAACATTTTCTTGGTGTCACCAACCACTTGCTTGGTGTTTGTTATGGAAATTGTGCTAGATTGTCTGTATCTGATTCACAAAGACTAAAATTACAGAACGAATCTTTGAAGACACTTCAACATGCTGCAAACATTGAGAAAAATGATTCTGAGGTGGTATATAGCCTTGCCAGGGAAAGCACTATGCAGCGGAACCTTCATATAGCTTTAGAGAATGCAACAAAGTATCTTGATATGGTGGCTGGAAGCTCAGTGAGGGGTTGGAAGCTTTTAGCCCTCATAGTGTCGGCAGAACAGAACTTAAGGGAAGCTGAAGCAATAGTTGATCTTGCAATGTATGAGAGTGGAACAATGGATCAGTTGGAATTCTTACGCTTAAAAGCGCTACTCCAAGTTGCTCAGGAACAACCAAAGAATGCTATAGAGACCTACAAAAATTTGCTTGCCATGGTTGAAGCATGGAAAGAACTTCAGAAATGGAGCTTGAGTTCTGAGGTATGCATCACTCAGAACTGGAACTTCAGATAGGATATTGTTTTAGCTTTCATAGTGTTTGTTGTTACTTTGTTTCTTCCTGAACCTCATTTTGACAGGTCAAAGCAGTAAAAGATCTAGAGATGGAAGCATGGTTGGATTTGGCATCTCTTTATACAAAACTTGGATCTTGGAATGATTCTTATGTTTGCTTGGACAAAGCTAAAACTTTCGAGCTTTTCTCCCCAAAGTGTTGGCATTCTAAAGGTACACACACACACACATATATATAGTTTGATAGCATAATGATGTTCAGAAAATTATCCTATCTTTTGACTGCTTTGGTTTTATATTCTATTGGTCACAATATCTTGTGCGTAACTGATTTCAATTTTGTGGCAGAGAAATGCAATCACTGATCCTTTTTCCTTTTTGTGTGTCTTGGATATACATTTAGTGATTCTGTTTAGATTCTTCAATGTTTTGAGTCAGTTAATTGTGTCCATTCCTGAGAGATTTCCCCACAAACTGTTGCAACTTTGCACCAGGATCTTATAAGAGAAAATGAAGCCCTGCTGCATAATACATTGTTTTTTCTGTGGATAAAAAGAATATGAAAATTGTTCAGAAGAATTTGAGCAGCTTCCATTTTATGAAAATCTCCACATGTAATTTGGAAAATTCTAGTTAAGCTTTTCTAATTGAATCCGATAGTTCCAGTAATTATCTGGTGATGGTGCGTAGCTAGAGAAACAATTTTTCAGATGCTGGGCATTCTAGAAGTATGCAACATTTATTTTCTTACCATACTGCTATAGAATTTGACATTTTTGTTACATCCATGTTACCAGGAAAACTGTTGGAAGCTCAATCAAAGCAGCAAGAAGCTTTAATAGCCCTTTTAGTTTCGCTTTCAATCGAGCCAGATTATGTTCCGAGCATGGTATTGATGGCAGCAATCTTAAGGACGCGTGGAGGCAAGTCACTGGCAATTGCAAGAAGCTTACTAATGAACGCCTTGCGTTTAGAACCCACAAACCATGAAGCATGGTTGAATCTGGGATTCATCTCAAAAGCGGAAGGCTCGCTTCATCAGGCTGCAGACTGTTTTCAAGCAGCTTACGAGCTGAGGCAATCCTCCCCGGTGCAAAATTTCGTATGAGCCCGTCTCCGACCATGCAATTAGTATACGCAATACATGCATCTGGGATCTTGAGAATGTAATGGTAGTTAAAGTTGCAACTGATGAGATAGATCTACAGGTATCTGCATATCATGGTTTGCTTCTCTCTTGTTCAATAACTGTTGTACATGCTCTCTGGTTATGATTCAACCATGTACTTGTTTAGAGTCACAAACACTTAATACATCTTGTAACTATAGCCCTGCTTATCCTGTAGGAGTCTGAAGAGTTTACCATCTCACTCTGTGTATTCTGTTAGTGGCTTTGCTGGAGGTATAAAATGGAGAAATTTTACTTCTGACTTTTTTCCTATGTTTAATATGATTTTTTTCCCCCTCTTATGAAACAATTAGGCTTCTTTCTCAGACATGGCCTGAGAACATCATTGTTAACTGTCACAGTGAATGACTTGATTGGAATGAGCTAAAACTTTTCTACATTGAGAAGCAGTGTCTGGCACTATGCTTGTTTTGTTCTCTGCTCAATGACCATCAAATGATAATGAATCTGAAAAGATTTGTTGTCATTTGGTTTGGCAATATTGAGAACAAGAGAGGAAAAGATGCTTCCCTGTTTTTTTTTTTGTTGCAAGAAATGTAAGCTTCTAGTTTTTTTTCCCTTTTTATATACAAAAACATTAGAAATCATGATGGAAGTACTTTTCATTGAATTAGGGTTTTCATCGGGTCATAGGTAGGGTTTTTTTTTTAATTGGAAAAAAATAAGAAAGAATCAGCCATAAGCATCATGTATGTGTCAACAAAGACTATCATTTGTGTTGTCTCAAGCATTGCGTCAACAAAGACCATTAGCATCCTGTAGTAAACTCAAACAAAGACCATTACCGATGTTTCGAGGTTGGCTCAGTACGGTACGATACCGAACAGTTTTATATAATTTTCTTTTTTATTGTAGCATTGTAGTACGTTTCGTTCGGTACCAAGTGATCTACGTACCAGTATGCCGTCGGATCGGTATGTACCGCCCGTACCGGGTGGTAACATTCGGTACCGCATAGTATGACTCAAACCATCCTAAAACAAATTGATTCTCCCGAAACAAATTGGTTCTTGAATTTTGACAGTTGCCTTTTTAATCTCTCTTCCAATCCCGATTCGTCTTGCGTTGCTCGCTGCTCATCGTCGCCACCAGTAGTTTCTTACCCTCATAGCTAAATGTTTACTGAAGCTGATTTAGATTTCTAAAAGCAATTCCCGTTGAGATGGAAGGCACCTCTTCTATGCCCCAACAACTTCTGCTTCACCTTCCATCTGGATATCTTCTTGATGCCGACATCCTCCTTCTAGTCATCACGGACCTGAAATTGCCAACAGCATCAAAAACCACAGCCAAATTGATCTTAGCACTTCAATACAAAATGAGATCCACTGATCCATATTTTTGATGCATACAAGTTCTTTGCGTTCAAATGCAGAGCGATACATTAGATAAAGAATTATGAGTAAACCTCCATAAGTTTTCCCAAGCCAAATTTGGGGGCCTTCAAGATTTGGACTTTGCGGATATACACATTTGGAAGCGGGAAAATGCTTGTGGTAGCTTTCTCAATCTCCTTCCCAATCATCTCGGGTGTGAATTTCTGCATCAAACCTTTCAGATCACACGTTGTGGTTTGATTCATCATAATCTCCCTCATCTTGTGACATATCTGAAACAAAACCATGATCCTCCCACCAATGATCACTGCAGGAAAAAATATGAACTATGCCGGTGAATGAAGTACCTGTCTAATCTGACTGGATCGAGCATAACAAGTGCGCTTGACCTGACCGGGGCATCTCTTGGTGGAACCAATTCAGAACACTCTCAGAGTGTAATTGTCAGATAGTCTTCAGGTCAACATGAGCTTCAATCAGAGTCTGCCACTTCCGCACCGGGTATCTGAGCTCGTCAGTCGTTAAGTCCATGCCCTGGAGACAGATGCGATCAACACCAAGAGCCAAGAGTTAAGCAATCACAAGGATGAAAGAGGCCATACCCAGAAGTTGGTAAGCACAGTCTTTCCTTGCACATCCTCTGTGCTTGAGACCCTCAGATGCAATCTGATGCAAAAAGACAAGCAGTATCAGTGCATGAACAGTTCTCAGTAGGAAATCAAGGTATAACTGATACATCCGAAGAAGATTGGAGGGGCAAACTATGAGACAACCATGGAGATGCAACCATATGACCGATATCTAGATCATGAACGATGCACGAGAAGAAAGCTAGACGAGTATGAAAGTGATGAAAGTACGATCGTATAATCCAGAACAGTCCTCACCCTCCATGTATACCTCAGTTCACCAACATATACATTGGTTAGTTCGTCCGATGACAAGTGATCTAACCCAAGTTATGGAGCTCGGATGTGAAGCAGGACCATGCATTGTAGACTTGGATCTTTTTCCCTTGAATTCCTCCATATGCAACTAAAATTTTTATTGCTCCAAGTGCATTGATTCCTTTGCTTCCTCATGTATATATCACCTGAAAAGAAGAGGAATGCAGCTAAACTTATTACGTCTTCTTCTTCCCTCCCTTCTTCCCCTTCGAGATCCTCTTGTTCTTCCTGCAAAGATGGACGGAGACGAAAAGGTCAACTTAAGAAGAAAGCTAAGAAGGCGAAGGATACGCGGGTTAGCGAATTGGATAGAGATGGCAGACTCACCCGACCGCCATGGCTGCTGCTGCGATCGCCGCAAGGGTTTAGGCGCGACGATGAGAGGGAGAGAGGGGGAGGGGGGGAAGGCTTGCCTTATAAACCAACGAGCTTTCTATCTCAGCCATCCGATGGAATTAGACACGCAAGATTGATGGCTCGCGTGTTGATCTAGCGGTCAGTCAGGAATGATGAGCTTACAATGGGTTAAAAGATCCGGCCCGGCTAAAATGGTTATAGGTTAGAAGATTCGGCCCGGACCAGCCCATGGGTCAAATTATCGGCCCAATTAAGAAGTCAAAATTAATGATCCAATCTGAGAGGTCAAAATTAAGAGCACAGTCCGTTAAGCAAGACAAAAGTTCAAATCTGACACTTGCGCTCTTAATCTTTAGGAGCATGTATTTGTTCATATGCATGGCTTTGAGCAATTTTAGGGCTTATTAAGACCACATATAACGCTTATTATGGTAGGCCTTTAGGGCATGACTTAAATAATTTTAGAATTATTTACTGTAGATGCAATGAATCAAGAAAATGGTTCAGACTATAAATTGGATACCACACCGCTAAGTTTATGCATACGATCTTATTTTTTTTAATTATAATTTTATCATCTCGAATCGGGTCGAGATTGTAAGAATGAATCTTGGTCGTAGTGAGATTTCGATTATCATAGTTGAGGTTTAGAGTCCGATCCCAATTTACCTATCATTAGGCAAAATATCCAAAGTGTTGTTCGTTTGAGCTTAGATTCCCAACATTGTGACATGAAATTCTTAAAGCATAAAAGAATTTGGGAATGTGCTTTTCCTCATAAAATTTTATGGTGAGAATTAGGATTCATGACAAATAAAATTTTCTATTATCGTTCTTACTATTGTCTATTTATATTTAATTTTATTATTTTTGATATTTTACAGGTAAGACTTTGAAAGAGAAGGAGGATATAAGACGAACACACTTGGATTCAACAAATGCAAAACAAATATGAGTAATCAAATTTAAGGGAAAAGAATATTAGCATGCTTGAGTTGAGTTCAGAATTATGGATATGGAGCATTTGTATATCGTATGTGGAGATGATTTGATTTGTAATATGCAGAACAAGTGTAATATAATGTACACATTACTCCATCTTCTTTTTGTCTCTCTAAAAGATGAGGATGTGGAAATTTATTTTTTGCCCAAATATTAATATGTTTTTTTCTTAGAAAATAAATTTTTATGCTTCAAGAATCAAAGATTATGCATTAGGATTGAGAGATCAGAAGAAAAATTCCAAACCTCAGAATCAATTGAAGTTAACCCCAAAGGAACATTTCTGCACTTATTAAGGATTCACTTGACTTGAAAATCAGGTGCTTATTTATAAATATTTTTCAACAATTAAAATATATTATCATGAGTTTAAGATTAAAGTAAGTAATTGATTTGATTGATTCCTCCCGTTGGGACAAACCAATGGATTTTAAAAGGTAAAACCACTAACTGATAAAAAAAAAAGAAAAAAAATGATGCACATGATTATTTATATTCATAATATTCTTGTTTTAAGATAATATGTCAGAAATAAAATTACGGTGCAAATGTGGAGTAGGTAGGTATAACCTCCCATAATCAATTAATTTGAGAAGTAAGCCATTAGAATATAATTAATTTTATTATCATTTTGATTTAATAAAATTTAATTTATTTTATATACATTTGTATTGTATCAACTATCCTAGGTTGGTCAAGCCAAATTGATCTAAGCTGAGCTACTTGAGCTTGTCTAATCCCAATTTTAATTGATCATATTTGTCTCGTTTGAGATATGAGATGGGTTGATCGTATCTATCTTACATGAGTCGGTTAGACCAAATCGACTTAACTCTAAATTGTCTAACTCTTATGATTTTTTTTTTCTAATATCAATATTATAAATTGTAAAAATATTTTTAAGATAACATAATATGGAAACAGGATATCTCATTTTATTACTAATCTAATAAGATCAAATTTGATTATTTATATAGTGAATATACACTTTAGATGCTCTAGTAATGTGGCATGCTGAGTAAATTTTTCATCATATTTGATAGAATATTTCGAGTAAAAATATAAATTATGAGTTTGATTTGATTGGCCGAAATTATAAGGTTAGCCTATGAATTAAAACTTAACAATCTTAGATTTTGAGAGTTACTAATATGTTCATGCACATATCTTTCTCCCTAGTGCATGTCTTTTTTATTATCGAAGACAAATAGAAGACGTTTAACGTAAAGATTAGAGCGAGGGTGTGCATATCTTCTTGATTAGATTCGTGTAGGTCAATACTCGTGTCATTACATTTCGCATGTATTATCTAACACTTAAGAAGGTATATTTTTAGAGAACGATTAAAATAATATTGAAAAAACGTTTGATATTTTATTCATCTTTTGATAAACCAAAACCAAATAGTGATCAAAGGAAAAAAAAAATGATAGATATAATGTAACGCCACTATCTCTCTTCTTGTAGATGAGTAAGGAATAATAAAACAAGTTAAATGTTTAAGCCTATCAATTATCATAATGTTAATAATAAAATAAGTTAAATGAGTTAGAAATTATAAGCTACATCTCTTAAAAGGAATTATAAAACAAGGT